CGATTAATTTGCCTAAATAGGGCATATTGGAAACTGGCCGATAGTTTGCCAATTCAGCCAGATCCAGGGATGTTTTTTTTTTTAAAGAAAGGGCAAACCATCACTTCCTTGAGTGCCTCTGGGAACAGTCCCTCAGAGAGGGACTTGTTAATACTTTCCCTAAGGGCATCTCGGAACCTCTCACAACCAGCTTTAATTAGCCATGAAGGGCATGGCTTAAGGCTTCATGTGGTTGGATGTACTGTTGACTTCCTCTAGACTGAGTGGACTGAAATAATCCAAAATTGGACTAGAAGACATGCATGGAGCCTCAAGTTCGCTCACTGTCTCAACTGTAGCGGGAAGATCATGGCAGTGCGACAAGACCTTATCTGCAAAATAACTCACAAAGGCCTCACAGCCAATATCTGCCCTGTGGCAAGACTGTCAAAGACTGAATAGTTCTAAACAATTGGGCTGGGCGTGAGCTGCATAAAACTCTCTCTTCACAGCTTTGACTGCCATCTTATAGGATCTCATAAATGTCCTGTAAGATGTTCATATAGCTTCATCGCATGTACACTGCCACTCTCTCTCTAGCCATCTTAGCCTCCGCTTCATCACCTGCAGATCCTGGGTGTACCAGGGAGCTAGTCTAGAGTGAGGGTGCAGAGGGCATTGGGGAGCGATCTGATTGATGGCTGCAGAGAGTCGGCTGTGCCAGTCCTCTACAAGCTCATCCAGTGAGCCGCCTGGGGGCATCGGGTCCCGCAGGGCCATCTGAGGCCACATAGGGTCTATTTGGCTCTGTGGATGATCTAAAATATGCTCGCCGCCCAAACAGTGTTGGGGTGGAACATTCAGATGGGCCTTCAGGGCATGGTGGTCTGACCATGGCACTGCCATAGCAGTGATCCGGTCCACTGTAACCCCCGCTGGGAAGATCAAATCGAGTGTGTGCCCAGCCTGATGAGTGGAAAAAGTTACATATTAGGAGAGTCCCAGCACTGCCATGGACAACACCAGGTTTGTCACCTGTGTGGAGCCAGCCTTCCTGAGCATCATCTGCATGGACATTGAAGTCACCGAGGACTATCAGTCTAGGTTGCTCCAATGCCCAGCTTCACACAGCCTACATTAGGGATGGCAGGCTATTGGCCGGTGCGTTGGGTGGACGGTATAGCACCCAGATAGCTAAACTCTCCCCGGCTTCCCACACTAGTGTTAGCCAAACTGCTTTATGTACAGCAGATGGCAAACTAAATTTTACGTGAGTTCTTGCCAAAGTTTACGGAGGTTCTGTCTACCCCACAGAGTCTCAGTGATGGAGACGAGACTGGTTGATTCCAAAACAATTTGTCATTTACTGAAGCATATAAAAATCCCATTCAAACAAATCAGATTCACACATATACGCAGCCAAGTTCCTTTAGAAATACAGAAGTAAATAAAATAGTTCCTTTTTACTTAAGGGTAGGTAGGTTATCGGTTTAATACTTATCTTTCCTGAAGTCTTGTGTGTTGCAATGAAAAATTAGGGAAGAATGATAGAATCTAGGGGTACTTCTAAATCACACTCTGACAGAGCCAGCCAGCAGGGCATGGACCTCTTTGGCTGCGCACACCAAAGGATCAAGTAAAGACAAAGGGTTTTAGCAGGAAGGGGGGGTAGCGGCTAGCAAAGACCTAACGTGTGGTCATCGCTTCTTACAGTCAAATATTTGGGTGAGTTGCAATCTTGCCAAGCTGTAGACCCACGAATCTGTAGTCCGTCCCATACCTACATCTCATTGGTGCGTGTAGTAAGGGGCAGGTACCTTAGGGGTGTGGACAATATTTGAAACTCTAAGTTCTAACTCATGGGAAGCCATCTGGTCAGGTGTGAAGTCTTGGCATCCAGGCTTTCCTTGATATGCAGATAGATCTTAGCTTTCCCAGGCAAGCAAGGTAACATCTGCCAGGAAATGGCAATTCAGATGCAAATCGAATCCATGTACTGTGTGACATCGAGTCCTTCAGCAATGGGGGATTTCTTCTCCTTAGTTGTAATTTCTGCTAACAATGGCTAAAATGTGCTTCTCTTTCCCATAAGGCTCTGAGCTGAATGTGTTTACCAGCTTCATTAACATGAAATGCATGCAGGTACCTTCCTATGTGAAATCTGTCACAACAGGTGATGCAAGCAGCTTTCTCTATGCCTATGGGTATACATTAATGTTCCCTCTAAGCTGTGGAGTCTTGTGAGCAAAAATTCCACTTTGTGAGCTACTGGCATTAAAGTTCTGAGCGAGCGATTTGGCTGCTGCATAAGTAAATTCACTCTGGAGCCAGGGGTAGTTTCATAGAAAAAGAGCTATGGAACTCATTAGCATAACTCATTAGCATATGCTACACTCCCTGACATCAGGGGCCCGGCGGTGGACCTGCAAGGCCAGCGGGAGTGTGAGGAAGCCCCGCCAAGGCCCTCCCTGGCCCCAGGCAGGCAGGGGTGGTGAGAGGTGGGGAGGAAGCAACTTACCCTCCCTCTTATCCTGTCTCCTCCTGGCTGAATGAGGGCCGGAAGCGGGGCAGCCAGAAGCAAGGGACGGGGCTTCGTCATGTGCCCCACCCCCGCACCTCACCTGGGAGAACTGCGATCCCCCGCGATCCCCCCGAATCTACCTCTGTCTGGAGCCAGCCTTCCTGAGCAAAGAAAAATACGTGTGTGCTGGAGGCTAAAAAACTGTGAGCTAGCTCACACTAACTCAGCTTAGAGGGAGCACTGGTATACATGTGTGTGCACAGTCCATATATTTGTGTGTCAGCAGATATAAATGCATAAAAAGCAAATATTAAGTCCTTTTCTCAACACTAGGTCAGCACACTGAATGCCCGTGAGCTTCAGCGGTGGAAGCACCCTGAGGGAGCCCCCCCACCCCCTAGTCCGCAATTGGTGGAGGACCGAATTCCCGAGTGGAGCCAGCTGGGAGAGAGCTATTGTCTCCCAGTCTCAAACCCAGGTTTTGGTCATGCACGCCAGGTCTACATGCTGCTCAAGCAGGAAGTCCTTAAGGACCATGGTTTTATTATTGATAGACGTGGCATTACACAGCACCAAATGACGGAGGGGGGTCAATTAACCAGCCTCACTGCCAACCACCTTCAGAATGGGATCCAGGCTGGAAGGAGACCAAGCTAGTTAACTTCTCTGTCTCCTTCCCTTAGAACCATGCCTGTTCCCACCACTATATTTTCCCTTCCCCAGGAGCACTGGTATTCCCCTGCCCTTTCAGCACCATATCTGGTGGTCTTCGCCAGGCCTCAGACCTATCCATTGAACTGGCTGACTGACAATGTGGTTCAACTACCTGCAGTGGATATGCTTCAGTGCTGCTAAACTCAAAGGGCCCTAGTCTCTCCTACTCATAAATCTGTAACTTCCATGATCATAGGTTCTTCAGTCTACAACTAATCTCCTAACTTGTTGTTAATATATTTTATACATCTCACATTGGCTGGAAATAATCCCTATTCAATAATAACAAATTCATCAATTTTACAAGTCAGCCTATTACACGCTAGGGATCCATGTTTTGTCTGCTACTGGGATATAGAAAAGGGCATTATGGAAAATAAAAGCATGCGTCTTGGTGCTTAAAGGTCAAATCCAGAACAAGGGGTTCACTCAGAATTGTGAATCTCATGAACATAAAGGTGCTCTTGGCTTATTTTGGAAATGTCTCCCATCTTGTTCCCCCTCTTTGTTTAATTCGTTCATATATACCTCTGCTCCGGGGGGGGGGGGAATACAAGGAAAGCTCCCTTTTCCACAAGATGTTTCCAGATGGGGGTCATCAGTATAACGGATTCTTTGGACACTGCTATGTGGATTGGGGTGATTTCTCTGAATTCAGAGGGATTGTACACAGTGTGCTCCCCATCTTTTCAAAGGATGAGATCTGTTTTTCCTTCATCAAAAGCTTTCCCCAAGTAACTTTTCCCTCAGCAACCTCACTCTAAAGAATTCAGAGAAGTGTGAAACAGTGAATATGTTAATAGAAAGCAATGTCACTAGTACTCTGGGTTCAGGGTTTCCAAACCTTGGGGATCACAAAGCTTCTGAATGTGGTCCTCAGGCCATCCCTCCCCAGTGGCTACTTCTGCCCTTCACGTCACTCTCTTTTTCTTCTCTTCTTCTTTGCCAACTTTTCCCCTGGGGTTGAATGTCACCACTGAAGCATTTGCCCCCGGTATGGGTAGCATTTCATTTGAGGGACAGAACAAGTAAACACAAAAGTTAGCTTAGTCATGAGGGGTAGTGGTGGGAGTGACTGTTCTCGGGTTTGGATATTTAGGCAAAGAGGACTCCCTTCACTTATTTAGTTGAGATTCCCTTGCTGAACGCACTACTCTAAATCGGATTGCTTTTGTACTTTCCTTGAGGTTGACTTTCTGAAAATATACTTGTATGAGGGGACTGCAACCATGAGGGTGCACAGGAGCCTGCTCTTCTTCTTTCTTCATTGGGGGGATACACAGTCAGGGGGCTCCCCCTACGTAGGGCTGAGGGCAGCTGCCCCCGGTGCTCATTGGTTCAGTGGTCTCAGGATTGGACTTTGAAATATAGACAGATGTGGCCACTTTTCTCTTGCTATTCTCCTGAGAAGGATCTGACAAAATTTCTGTCGCAACATTACTTTAACAGTCAACATTGCAGAGAAACTGTAATGCTGTGTAAGAGTTGCCCTTCCCTGTAATTATCCAATTGTCCATCATTTCTTCTACTTCTTCTCTGTCCCTAGAGAGTGCCAGTAATCACATACAATATTACAAAGACCAGAAGCTTTTCCAGTAGTTCTGTAAGAAGCAGAGGCTGGGCTCCATGAAACTGACCATTGTTTTTAATTTTATTATTTTTTACCCTGTATGCTCACTCTGCGAGACTGGCCATTTCCCATCCAGCTGTAGAACTCAGGGATGCTTGAATTATAATGTGAGAACAGATGAACAAGGGTCAAAAACAGAGATTTTCCTGCCGGGTGATGGTATTGATAATGTTGACCTTAGTCCTCCTGCCTCAGGTGTTTTCCAAGATACATATTGCTAACTGCAACACCACTGGTGACAGTCTTTCTATTCTTCACCAGTATTATCACCTGGGAGAGCACATTATTGCTGCCATATTTTCTCAGATCTACACGTGGTTCAGCCCAATAACCTTTGAAAAACGTCCTTCTAATGATAACTTTGATGACCTTATGTAAGGCGTCGTTTTAAAAATCCAAATAATACATCTTGCCCACAAAATAGTCTTAATACTGTGGCTTGGTTTTAGCTTCAAGGCTGTGGTGTATGTCTGTTCTTTTCTTTCCACAGGATGACTATCTTCTCATCTATAGGATAATTTCTCACCAGGCTTTGTCTACAATCAGGGCTTTTTTTCTGGGGGAACATGTCGAAACATAATCCCGGAACCTTTTTGACTTTTTTTTAAAAATTCATGAGTTTTCAGTATACAGACTATTTCTTCATTTCCCTCTTCAGAGTTCCTGCACCTCTTTTTCCAGAAAAATGTAAAATGTAAAAGAAGCTGATAGTACCCCAACAACCCAAGATACATGTCCATCTGTTTTGTCAGTGGCATGCCTCTCTGTAAATGCTTCTGTTAGCACGGGTGTGTGTGTCTTCCAGATTAGTATTGCTCTTCATTAGGAGAATCTATAAGGTTGATTTGTGTGACAATATTACTTCACACATCCCAAGCAATCTCTTTTAGTGCAACGTATTTTGCAAGCACTCATAGCATTAAAATGCAGCAGGTATCATGTTTGCAGGTGCGTGCAGTGATACAGCATGTAACTCTCATTGCAGAGTCATGACTCATATCTACCAGCATATCCTGGCCTTGGTGTTTGCCATTAAGGAGATCAATGAAAATCCCCAGATTTTGCCCAACGTCACCCTGGGCTTCCACATCTATAATGACTACTTCAGTGCAAGCAGGACCTATCAATCCTCCATGGAAATTGTCTCCACACGGCACAGATTCATCCCTAACTACAAGTGCAACACCCAACAAGATCTAGTAGCAGTTATTGGAGGACCTCAATCTGATACTTGTGTCCACATGGCCACCATCCTATCTGCCTACAAGGTCCCACAGGTATGATATAAACCTATACATTTGAGATGCTGTTTTCAGAGTTAGAGTGATATGACTGAAATGAAAAAGGCCCACCCTGTATGTTTCTTGAAGGTTAAATCATGACTCAGGGAAAAATATATCTGTATTTGTGCGTTTCCCCACAGTGATAAATGGGCTAATGAACAACCAACCTTCCAATCACTGCAGGTGTCATAGAGAGGCATTAAAGACATTCATAGACCTTTAAGATTTGTCTTGTGAACTGACAAGGAAACAAACATGTTTTCAAATAGCAAGCTAAGTAGAGTAAGGTGGGTTATCATGGAGGACATGAGAAGTCTTTGACTTTTTAGCAAGAAAATAAAAACATGTTTGGAGCAGGAAATGTTGCTGTTGTCTGAAAAGAAAATGACAATTTATAGGCTCTTACAAATTGGATTGACATGCTGTCTGAAAGTCCTGTTGCCACACTTATCACATTGCATCAGAAACATATGAGGCAGCAGCAAATAGAAAGCATAAGGAAACTGTAGCGTGAAAGGGACCTTTGAGAACTGTAATATTCATGATGCTAAAAAGAACTACAGAAATGCTCCAGGATCTGATTTCCATTTCTTAGAGAGCAAAGCAAACAGCTTCCCAGTTCCATTTATGTTGTTCCAGGAATGTCTGCTCTTCGCAGTTAAAAATATTGTAAGCTGGTTTGAAATATTGACTCTTTGTGCATATGTACTTTACAACTACCTCACTATGTTTCTAATTGATCTTGTATTTATTTTTTTTATTTTTTTTGAGAGATCTTGCTGTCCCCATATGGAACTTATGCTCTGTCTGTTTTTGGTTTGGCTTGGTTTTGTCTGTTGGAAAAACGTTCCTAGTTACATCACTGGAAATGCATGCGGAATACACAAAATTGAATTTGTCTAGGATCTCAGTTAATGTTTGTGGGAAAACAACATAATTGATTGAACCTACCATAACACAGACACGCACAGTTACACACAAACCTTTCACTTTGGGAATCTCTTTCCTTTCTCCCCTCTTTTCTATATTTCTTTAGCTGACTTATGGCTGTGTTCCAATGATGATTAACAGAGCCCAAGGAGTATTCTCCTACCAGACCTTTCCAAATGAAGCTCTTCAGCATGTTGGGATTCTCCAGTTGTTGATGTATTTCAGGTGGACTTGGATTGGAGTGATATCTCAAAATGAGATTAATGAATATGCAGAGAGGTTTGTTCAGAATGCACTTCCCATGTTTTCCCAAAGTGGCATCTGTATTGACTTCATAGAACGAACCCCCATATTGTCATTTTCCACACAGATCCCTGAAACGGAAGACAGTATTGTTAAAATAGGCAGCATTATCATGAGAAGCTCAGCAAATGTCGTGCTCGTATATGGTGAAATTGATACCATGATTGTTTTGAGAATATTGCTTGATATTTCAGAGTTTGAGGACCTATCAATGAAGACAAAAGGTAAAGTCTGGATTCTGACAGCCCAGATGGCTTTCACTTCACTCCCCTTCCAAAGAAATTCGGACATACATTTCCTCCATGGTGCTCTATCCTTTGCAAGTCACTCCAAGGAACTCTTTGGATTCCAAAAGTTCCTTCAGATGAGGAACCCAACCTCAGAAAAAGAAGATGGCTTTATCATGGATTTCTGGCAACAGGCGTTTAACTGCTTATTTCGCAAGACTATGGCAGACGACACAAATGAGAAGATCTGCACAGGGGAGGAGAAACTGGAACGTGTTCCTGGATCGGTTTTTGAAATGAGCATGACAGGCCACAGCTACAGCATCTACAATGCTGTCTATGCTGTGGTGCATGCTTTGGATGCCATGCGTTTATCCCATTTGAAACATGAGTCGAGGGTACTTCTGAATCAACTGTGGCAGGTAACATTATGAACACACTAGGTTAGGATCCAGCAACTGACCCGTCCCTCAGTTATGGCAGTTCTTATCGCATCAGTGAGAGTACATACTTTTCAACACTAGATTCCACTCGGTGGAACACTCACCTTGAGGAGGCAAAGGGCAGTGTTTCTAGAGGTTTTTGGGAGGTGCTGCAAGGCCATTTCATTTGATAGAGCTTTAAATGGGTTGCTGTTTGCAGACATTTTAGAGATAAGGGGTTATTAGGGGGTATTTTATTTTATATGTCAGGTGTTGGGATTTGTAAACTGCTATGAGCCATGAGAAAAGGAAAGGTACAGATAAAGTATAGCTTAATTATTCTCCTTCAGGATTTTCCTGTGCATCCTCTGTTATATTAGTATAATATCTAATTATATGTGGCTCCAGACTAATGCCAGGCACCTTGGTGCTTAATTGGGTTCTCTATTAGTTTCTACACAGGGCACATCACTATCCTTATAGTAAGTCTGTGTTTCTGGCAGCTTCAAAAGTTATAATTGAATTTGTTTGACATATCATTTTCTGGCGGAATGCCTGCTTCTCCAGTACAACATGTTCTGTGACATGGGTAGCTTCTTAGGAACAATAGTGTAAACACTTCAGGAATACCAACAGCGACCTGACTAATATGCAGATATCATTGAATAAAATATTTCTGATGTGATTCAAGGCTTAGTGGAATGTGATCAGAAACATATTTCAGCTTTTTCTGGAGAGACACAGACAGTGGAGCTATTTATTCTATCAAATCAATAATTCATGTCATTTTCCTTGATTCAGTACATACTTGGAGTTTTGTTGTAGCTCTCCCATACCTTGTGGTAAATGTTTCAAGTCACCTAAGTGACCAAAAGTACATTTCCAAAAGTTCACAATTTATAAATATATTTAAAAGTCTTTATTATTTTCAAATACAAATAAATGAGAGAGTTTATACTTCTATACCTATTGAAAATACCTCATACATATATATATCTGGTTTCCTGTCTACCATTCAATATAGTCTAATCTAATTCTTGCAGTTCATCAGTTGAAAGATATACCTTTACTACTATTTAAAAGTTATTTAAACAACTTCAAAAGTCCCTAAACTTATATAAAATTCTCTTATACTTTCTAATCCTTTATTTTGATTACATCATCAATATAGAGTTTGAAAATAACTTTTCCCTTGCATTCATTCAATATACATCATTGTTTTTCCAGAATCAGTCTTGATGTAATACAGAAGTACAGAAGGTCTCTTTCATTTTTAATTTATATAATTTGTTATATAATTTTCAATATCATCCACAAATCCCCATCAAGATAATTTAAATTATAATCTCTTATACAAATCTAACTGCCACTATCAATTTATGTGCATCAAATATAAACTTAGATGTTACATAGCAAACATTAAGGACAAAAAAGGGAAAAGAGAAAAAAAACTGAACCCAAAACCTAGAATTCAGAACCTAAAAAGGTTAGTCAAGAATAGAAAAGGGCCAACTCTAAAAATCTAATTATAAAACATACAAAAATATACATGCAGG